CGAAAGAATACACTTGGAGAAGACGAAGAATCCTCACACAGTATGGTGAACTCCAGCTTACTTTCGGCAAGCCCTCCAAGGAAGAGAGAAATAAGCAGTTTAACAAAGACAGAAGAAAATGAAGACTCAGCAACTCACATCCAGAAATTACTTTCCCTGGTAAAGGAATGGGACATGGTGAACTCCAAGAGATGTGATTCTCAGCACGTAAAAATATCCGATGGTTGCATCACAGGCAGCGTATCTCAGTACAACACTCCTGAAAACGACAGAGGTGTCAAAGCTTCTATTGCTTGTTCTCCTGGGAAAATAAGCTTTACAACTCCAGAAAACAGTCCCATTACCCAATGTGAAGCCGGGGCTGAAGGAAAGCAGCTGGACCAATACGTGCTCAAACAGAGTCTGCCAGTTACTCCAAGTGCTGGAACATATAAATTCAGCACCATAAAAACTACTCCCACAATAGGAAAAAATACAGAGAACATAAACAGGGAGCAAGCAGAAGGTAAATGATTACTTTGGGATTGTTTTCAAAAATGAGGGGAGTAATTAACTGAATCACTTGTATATAAATAAGATACTTTGATCGTGCTGCTGAACTTCAGAGTGATGGTCTCAGCCTTTTTCTTGTTCTCCTGCTTGTAGGAAGTTTACCCAGTGAAGTAAGAGACGAGAACTTGCAGATGAAACTCATCCCTATAAAAGGCAGTAAGTTGATTGCCAGCTGCTAAGCAAGGGCCTGGTTATGACTGGTGGATTTTTTTTATCACTTATCTATGCAGAGTTTGATACTAAAAGAGTGTTTGCCAGAAAGGTGGAGCAGCTTTTTGATCCCCTAGTGTTAATGAATTGTACTTTAACTGTCTCCTTGTTACTCTACCTTTATAGCTGTGCAATGAGCAGTGAAGCTGTTTTGATGTGCAGAAGTTATCCGTCTGCATTTTTGAGACAGTTGGAGTTTATTAATGGTTGGTAATGGCATAAAAATCGGGATCCTAGTTTGATATTGGGACTATAGTGAATAAGGAGACTTTGTGTTCTTCAGTCCTCTCCTGAGGACATCCTCAAATCCTGAGAATATTTTGAACAGCCTTTTAAATTGTCTTTGCCATTCAGATAGGTTTTGCTAACAGAATCTTTTTTTAGGTATATGTGGTATTTTATTAGTGCTTTTATTGGAGTTGCTGGCGGTGTACAAAGATAGCAATGGTTCAGTCACCAGAGCCTGAAAAAAAAAGAAACCTTAAATGTTTTACAAGGGTTTCAGATGTAGGGTCTAACAACAGATCCATACTACTAGTGTGAATTGAGCTGAATAAAGTCCACTATAACCAGTGAGATCACTGGGCACAGACCAAGTTACAGAAACCTGTAATTTAGCACAAAGGCTGAGTTTATGTTAAACCCAGAAGTTTCCACAGCCGTGTGTAGGAGTTAAAAATGTTTGATAGCCAAGATACTAAATGCAAGCTCAGGAAACCTCAGTGGAAAGTCCCAGTCCAAGACTTCTCCTGTCACCCTAAAAAGGATGTGATTTACCCTGTACCACTTCCACAGTGGGCAACATTGTGAGTTTTCACAGAATTGCTGGCAAAGCAGAATGTATTAATAATGATTGTGGATGTTTTTGTTACTATAGCAGTGCAAGCTGGATTATTATTTTTTCCTATTAAAAAAAAAAACTCTTTCATATCCCTTGAAAGAATCCCGGACTAAATTATGCTTGGGTTTTGTTAAGCAATGTGTAATGGTTACTTTTTCTGAATTTTCCCTGTGAAAGAGGGGAGTAGAGAAAACCTGTAATATTATACTTCAGATTGTAAATTATTTGATGAAAAAGTTGCCATTTTCTGTCTATTGGCATTTCACTTTTCCTGGCAAAACCTCATGACAGAATGAAGACAAAAAAAAGCGCATAACTTAAACGAGATGACAATTTTGTGGTCACGCTTACAAAAGAACAAATGTGTTTATTCCAGTACTTCTGCATGGGCTGTGCTATAAAACTCAGCTTGTATTCATTCACAGAAACAATGGACAGCAAACAAACCCCTGTTCTTCTGGAAGATCACAGAAATGTAGGGCTGATTCTTAAAGTTGAACATCCTCCAGTTTTAGGCAGTGATGGCTTTCATACGTGCAATGAAGAGAGTGTTGTTTACAGCATTCTGCTGGATGGCACCCAGCTGGGTAATTCAAGCACTCAAGCACTACCCAAAGGTAAGAAAGGATGTTCAAAAGGTAAGAAAAATGATGTTGCTGCAGAGTTTTTAGTATTATCTCTGTCGTGATTCGTTGCCAGTTCTGACTGTCTGAGTACCTAGGGTTATTGCAGCTTAACTACTGCTAAGACTTAATTCTTCAAAGCAGCAGGACAGCAGCTGCCTAACCTTGCAGGTGTCTTAAATATTTCCCAGTGAAGCTCTTTAATGCATTGAATTTTTTAGAGAGCTACAGAACTGGAAAGAATCGGGGAGAAAAAAAAAAAAAGGAGGAAAACCAGTAAACTCATTATCCTGGGTGGTTACAGATTGTTCAAGGATATGCAAGAGTGAAAGGCAGCTTCCTAGTCCATTGCATACTTGTTTATTGATGTGAAATATGTATTTTATATATATAAAATACATAATATACACACACACTTTTTTTTTTTTTTTAATATTGTAGCAGAATAGTGCAGTGGCCCTTCCCTGGTGCTGTGTCAGATCCCAGGTACTGATCCCAGCTGTCTCCCTGCATTGCTGGGAGAAGGGCTAGACCTTAGGCTTTGGAGATGGGCAGGCACGAGAGCACTGCTGTGTCCTGTCTGGGAAGGTGATTGTGGTGCTGTGGGGGCCCAGTTCCAGCTGAGACTTCTTGGAGTGTGAGCATGAGTCTTTCTGGTGGGCAGAGTGAACCCCTGTGATCACCTTGTGGCTCACATGTGCGTATGTAAGCCAATAATGTGTGTGTATAAACACACATGCATTTAAATGTAGCTGAAAAGAAATGAAACAAAGCCCAAGGTGAATGTCCTGAAATCTATATTCAGTGTTCGTTTGGGCAAACCCTTAAGTTGAGCTCAGGTTTGAAAACTGGCCGTTTCTATTGCATTAAAACCTTGGACAGGAAAGGCGTTAAAGAAGCCAAAGGTTGGATGACTGAAATGTTGAATGCTGTAACCACATCCTTTTTTGTGTTCTTTGAACTGTTTCTTGTAGATATCGTTTTTCTTCGCTTTTCTCTCTCGCGTGAGGAGATATTCTATGCCAGGAAGTGCCACTTTTTCCTGACTGATGTCATCCTGGACTCCATAAGGCAGAAGGATCCCAAGGAAATCACAGCCAAGATCATGACCCTTGTGAACAGGCTTTGGGTAGGTACAAGGTCATGGCAATTTGGCTGAGTTGTGGTTTCTCAGCTTCCCCAGGCCACCGATGGGTGGCAGGGCATAAAAACTTGGGCTCTTCAACAGAGTGAGATGGAGCATTTAGCAGCTTGCCTGCTGAGAAGTTTCAACAAGGGTAATTAATTCTCCTTATTAAGCAAGAGCCCCTACTTGCTGGAATGACGATGTCACGTTCTGTGTTTTAGACCCAGCAGCTCACACCCAAGGAGTTTGTCGCTGATTTACTGAACACGGAGCATTTTAAACGGGACAGAAAGATTCGTGAAGAGCTACTGCAGTGGGTGGAAGTAAGTAGCATTCGCCACCAGGTGATGCTGTAGGGCTGAGAGTTTTTGTGCACGTGTGAGTGTGTGTTGGGGGGGTGTCTTTTTTATTATTATTATTATTGTTGGCATTCAGCTTAAGCTGGTTCTCTCGTCCCAGCTGCTTGCAAATGAATTACGGGGAATAATGTGTTGCAAAATGATTCTCCCAGCACGTTAATTGACTAGTGTAATATATAGCCTTAATAAAAGTTTAAAACTGTGCTGCTGATTTATAAGTTTGTCCACAAAAAGTAGGTGGAAGACTTCTAGGATGTTTAAGAAATACGCAGCAAGGAATCAGCGATGCTGCTGTTCTGCAGTCAGCAGGGGATTTAACGGTGACCTTGTTTTTGTGCCTTTTCAGTTTACCTTGCCATTTGCGTGGAAGTACAGCCGCTGCCTCGATTTACTGATAGAGAGAGGGCTTGCTAGATCCGTCTCATACTTTGCCTTGGAAATGTAAGTTTACAGACTCTTAATAAAGTTTTTTGAAATGTTTTCATTGTGGTGTGTGAGAGGGATAAACATCTCATCTGAGCTTTTTTGGTTTTTTGAACAGTACCTTCATTTAGTTAAGAATCTTTGTCAGCTGTCAGCTTTAGGGAGCAAAGTAGCTGTCTTATGTGCTACCACTTACTGGTCATGAGTTAGGTTTATTTACCAGAAAAAAAAAAAAAAGAAAAGAAAAAAAACACCACCTACTGTTGCTGTGTTTTGGTCTGCCTAGATGGCCATGCACGTTTTCCGTGACACTGCTCCCCTAACTCCTGCCTGGGGATGCAGAGAAGCTCTCACTCAGGTGACTCCCTGGAACCCTGAATTAGAAAATGCTGGGACAGGAGCTGGGTAAGAACTTGCCCCTGCCCTGTGGCTTTAGTTACTGAAAATGAGTAAGAGAACCCACTCTTTCTGCTAACACCTTTGTTATTATCTGTTTTTATATATATATATATATATTTTTGGGGGTGGGGAGAGGTGGGGGAAATAATAACCTCAGTTCTCCAGCAGTTACTTCGTGTTTCCTTTTAAGCACTTTGTGCAGACACAGCACTTTGCTATTCCTGCTCTAAAATCTCTGCAGTTCTGCAGAGCAGAGCTGACGCTGTTCTCACCCTGTGAACTAGAGCAAGTAAACATCACTTCCATCCATCTAACAACTCGGTAAGGAAACGTTATTTCAATCTTACACCAGCATTTTGAGAGGGCATTTAGATGCCCTGGGGACAACTGCTTTTCTCAAGGCACACCTCTTTCCTCTTCTGCAGCCCAGGTTCCCACACTGAAATCAACATACCATGCAAACAAGATTCATATAAAGAAAATAACCTTTATTAGACAAATCAATCAAACCCTGAAAAAACAGCATCAGGTAAACATTAAAGTTTTTTTTTTTTTCCAGCAATGTAAAAACCTTTTGAGAAATTCAGAAAATTTCATGTTCCTTTTGTCGCATTAGTAACTTCTTTCCCTCTTGTGACATGAGCTATTACTGTCTTGGCAGCCCAAAATCTTGCATTAACTTACTTATTTTAAAATAGTAACTTCTAAAATCTTCCCTGTGCAACTGTTTCCCACACAATTTTGTACAAAGGTGTCAACTGTGCTCTATTTGCTGTCTAAAAAAAGAACAAGTTTTAAAAAACATTCGGCTTATTAAACAAGTGTTTTATGTACAGTACAGGAATTTCCAGACTTGAATGAACATAGTTTATACGCGGAGGGTAACTCACGTGGCTATGAGGGTTTACATCTGAGACTACAGCAATGCACTGCGGGGACCAAGCAGCTTCTCCACCCCAGCAGCAGCTACGGGTGAAACTGCAACTGAATAAATTCCTGCTCCATAAAGGCCAAATGTGACACCGTTTCTCTCGCGTCTGGGGGATGCTGATTTACAGCACTTCACAAACCAGGAGTAAGCAGGAGCTTGGCAGTAAGTAACTGCAGCTTCCAAAAAAACGCTGATCTTCAACTTTCCTCCAAGAGCACCAAGACAGCATCACAGCCCTGCAGGGAGCTTTGATGTTACTCTGCATTAACAGGCACCTTTGGGACGCAGGACACAGCTGTCCTGCAGTTACGTTGTCCTACTTCAGACATCACGCATTTAAGGTGGAGCATTGCACTAAACCTAGATACTCAGAAGCTGTTGTCTCAGATGCCACCACCACCCAAACCTCCTCAAACAAGCAACGCTGAATGGACCAAGAGTAAGGACCTGGAGAGGGGCTAGGTCAGCAGCAAAGCAAGCGGCCAGTCCCCAGCACCCCAAATCCTGGGGCACAGCCTGGCCCCTGGGACAAGGCACGCTGCAGGCTGAACTTTGTCATTCACCTCGTGTGGCTGGAATCTGCCTGTGGGGGCTGAGTGGCACAAACCAGGAGGAGAGGACCTTGGAATAGGGGAGCTGTGTCCTCCTCACCCACCTGCTACGCTCCCTGCTCTGCTTTGGTCTCCACACGCTGCCACCGGGGGACCCGGCCCCTCTCCTGAGGAACACTCCTGAGGTCACGCATGAGAACAGCGGCTGAGCTGGCAGATGGTTAGCGCGGCAGTCGCACAGGGAGACCGAAGAGTCAGCAAGAGCTGGGAGATGGTTAAGACAGAGAGAAGCTCAGCACTGAGGCACTGGGAGAATCGTGGGAAGAAACAATTCACTGTAACAATGGAATTGCTTTTATTAAAACAGAAGTGTTAAGCCAAGAAAATAAATTATTGCTATGATAGACATATTTAGAACATAAGGAAGGACGTTAATCTTGAGCTCCAGGTCAATATAACCCTGAAACAGGAAGTTACACTACTTTTCTTAAATACCTTGGTTTCTCTTCTTGCCCTTCCAAAAACTTTATAAAATGTGCAGCTTAGAGAACAAACAGTAACAGAGTCACTTGTAACAAAAAAAAAAATCTGTACAGCACATAGCTTTAAAAATAATACATTTTTTTCAAACAGCTATGTTACTTATTACTCATAAATATAGGGCTAACAAATTTTGAATGCCCAAGGTCCCATCCAACACCAAAGCTATTAAGCGTAGTTGACAGAAACCTTCTCGGGACTTCCCCCCAGCCAGAAGTCAGGTTTTGGACTGTCTGAAAGAGCCTGATTATGTGTAAAAGTATCTTCACGGATGAAGACTGTCTCCTTCTGCTGGTCAGAGGCCTGGGGTCTTCAGTGAGTTTGAAATGGCAATCAAACCTGGAACACAGCACCGTGCAATGGGTTAGACTGGCTGCACTCCCATAACACGGCAGGATCTGCAGGTCCCTCTGTCCTGGCCAGCAGTGATTTTGCAAAATACTACAAAACCACGGTTTGTCAGAGCTGCATTTTGGTGGCCAAAGAACGTTTTTACTAGAAGAGCCTCACAGGAGGAACGAGGCACTTCCCCCAGGCTAAAAGCTGCCTCTGGCTCAGGACTCACCCAAAGGCTACCTGCTGCTGCCAGAGCAGCCGTGGGGCAGCAACGCCCCTGCAGCTGTGACCATTTACAGAAGGGCCTGTCTGTGACCTGTCCCAAGAAGGAGCTCAGGATCCCAAATTTGAACCATGGCTGCTGGGTTTGGTTAGCTCAGTATGACCTCTGGTACCTGCAGATCACAAACCCAGGCCCTACACGCTATCTATCAGCCTGTGCCTTGACCACCCGAGCCCCTGTCCTGTCTGTCCGACACTCACAGCCCTCTGTTCCCAGCAAAAAGGGAGCCCAGTCCTAAGGACTGGAATCTTTGGGTGAGGTAAGAGGCAAAAGCTGAGCCTGACAGAGCCTGGCTTGCGTGAAGCATAGTAAGCCTTTACGAGGGCCTGCCACCCTGCTTGGCTGCCTGGCTTGTCAGGGCTCAGCTCTCCTCAGACAGATCACCAGCGAGCTTCCTCACACATCTTCTGGACCTTCTGGCCAACTTCCAGAAATACTTCCTCCAGAAGTAACACCTGGCAGCTCCCTCAGGACTTCCTGACCATAACCTAGCAGGTTCCTTTGCTTGGTGATGTGTACAGATTCCTTGGGAGGTTCAAAGGAACCTGTGGAATAAATCCAGCTTGGGGAGAATACCATGGATTCCCCAGGGCAGCTCAGAGGGACTAACAAACAGCAGGATTTCGGCAAATAGCCACAAGAAACAGATTAGTGGTTAGACAGCTGGGTAGCATTCAGAGCAAAGCTCATCTGAACACTGACACATGGACTAGGTGGTGTTCAAGCCTCTACTACCTGAAAACCATTTTTGCTTGTTTTGTTTCTCCTCCTCCAAACCAGAGAGGCATCCGACCTGTTATTTAAGGCGCTGGCTGCAGGAGCTGGTTGTCTAAAACCAGATCAGAGCCACTGACACCGGTCAGGAATGCGTGTGGGAGACTTCTCATAGAGAAATGGGGGTGAGGTCCTCCTGACTCAGAGCTACTGCCAAGCCTGACCAGCACTCAGAGCTGCTGGAAAATCCCCTTCAGGGGCTACTTACAACAACTCCACTTCCTTAGGCCGTATACGTGTGCAGAGGGGATCACACTATTGTCGAGGGACTTATGGTGACCTGGCCTGCTTTCTGCAGAGGAGAGAAGCCAGCATTAGTACAGGGTTAGAGGACAACAGCATCAGGACACAAGCTAGTGGGAAGGGAAGTGGCTGAGAACCCTCAGGAACGTAAGAGGAGAAACAAATGACATCTGAGAGCAACAGGCTCCTATCCTTCCCTCCGTCCCATCTCATTGCTCCCCACAAAAGGTCCAAGCCTCCCCAGAAAGGAGCTTAGCAGCATCTGCGGCAGAGCTCCAGCTGCTCATCCCCAGGAGGTTAAGCGTGTACCCCAGCCCATGGCAGCACGAAAGCCTCTGTGTGCACAGCATCCCCTCCCGATGCAGCCTCCAGCCCTGCGGGTCCTTTCCAGTGCATCTCCTCAGGGATCCCGGTCACGAAGGGGAGGCTCTCACAACGCAGGGGCTTTGGCCTGCCCCCAAATAGGTGAGTCTCTGTGAGAGGAAACATCACTTCCCCACAGCGACTCCTAGCCCAAAAGCAGCATCTTCAGTCCCCGCGTGAGAGGCAGTGGCTTGAACCGAGGAGGCAGTGGTAGTGACAGGCAGAGTGAAGAGAGCGTTTTGGCTGCTTGCACTTACTGCAGAAATGTACTGGCTGTTCGTGAACCGAGGGTTTCTCCTCCATCGCTGAGCTGTGTTGTGAGCCCAGGGGCATGTAGGTGGGTGAGCCCATGTCTTCACAGAAGCTTTCTTGTGGGATGCTGGAGACACAGCCGCTGTCGGAGCCGCTGGAGCCGCTGCCTGACATGCAGTGTGATGACTCGGAGCTCTCTGTTGCTGGGGGAAGACAGGGAAATCATTCTGAGGACTGTGAATTTGGCCTAAACGACCACATGCACGTGGTAACACACCCCTCTGCAGAGACACTGGTCACACAAGCCCATGGCTATGCCACACTGCTATCTGGGCCACTTTAAAGCCACAGGCAACAAAATAACCCACTGCAGTAACCCAGTGATGCTGGAGATGGAGCAGGAGGCACTGAGCACTGCCTAGGGCACAGGGAGGCCCTGTTCCTTGGGCAGTCAGACTCTGAGCTGCCTGTCCCAGACCCAGCATCCCAGGCAATGCTGCTGGCACCACCATTTCCACCACACCACCACAGGACACGCACTGCTGCTCCTGTCCCTCTGTCTGTACCAGCCAGAGAGCTTCACACATGGGAAGCCAAGGGGTCACTGGACCAAGCTGGCCAAAGCAAGGAACATAATGCCTCCTACTAGAGGGGCAAGGCAGGCAGAGGCACAAACACTGCCCTCCAAGGCCACAGCACCAAGCCTGCTCCTGTGAAAGCAGGAATGGAGCTTGTGTAGAAGGGCAGTGTGGGTATGTGGCAGGGTGTGCCATGACTCCAGGGAGCCTGGTGTGACCACACGGCAGGGAGCGAGCCGTGGGGACAAGCCCATGGCACAGAGAGGCTGGGCTATGGGTCCCATCCCCGGGGGTGTTCAGCACGGCCGGCTCATACGTACTCAGTGAGGGCTGGCTGCTCGTCTCGTGCTCCAGCTCATCCTCCTCGATGCAGGCACCAACGTCAAAGGGGCGTCTGGGGGCCAGGACGCCTGGCAGCAGAGCCTGGTCCAGGTACATGTGCAGGTTGAGGGGCCCCAGCAGGGAGGAGGAGGAAGGGCCGTACGCAGCAGCGGTGCTGCCAGCAGAGAGCTGCGCCTGAGTCCTCTTGTACGGGTTGGAATGGTCGAACAGAGACACTGCGATTGATGCTCTGGTCCTGGCGCCTGCCACAAAACACAACGAAGCCCTGAGCGTCAGCCCCACCCGGCTCGCTTGCAGCAAGGGGGCAGGGTGAGCTGGCACTTACCTCTGCCTTTCATGATGTAATCAATAGCACGGTCATTGATAGCTGCCTCGCTGGGTTTGATGTCCAGGAACGGCTTGTTGCCCACGCCCATGGACACCATCTCCTGCATGCGGATTTCTGAAGGGAAGAGCAAGGTGTAACAGCTGCCTGCCAGGCTGCCCCGGCCCTCCCTGCCCCAGGGCCAGGCTGCTCCTGAGCTGCTGGCATCAGATCCGTTCTCCCCTTGCTCCCCAGCCTGAGCAGTCTGCACAGACCAGCCCCTCATGCTCTGCTCTGGTTCAGGCACCCAGTGCCATGCCTGCCTGTGAGTGTGATCCAAGCAGGAAGCCTGGGGTGAAGAATAAGCTCGGCCAGCCTGAGCCAGGCAAGCTGCCACTCCGATAGCGAAGCTGTGGGGAGAACAGCGAGCTTCTCACAAGCACGGCCACTCTCACAGAGCACTGAGTGAGCTTTTCAGCAGCACGGCCACTCTCACAGAGCAGGAAACCCTGTGCTAGCTCCTCCCATTTCTCCCAGCGTCCAGGCAGGTGTCCACAGTCACAAAGAGCTTGGACTGCTGTCAAGGTGTCTGGGACGAGGGGCAGGGAAGGGACAGCACCCAGCCAACCCCAGCACATGCTCCTGAGGCTGCATGCAGGCACACGGCTGCTTGCCACACAAAGCTGCCTGCTAATAGGCTGCAAACCTACTCAGGACAGCACGAGCTGAAGGGGGCTCCCGCACCTTTTGCGGCACAGACGCCCTGGGAAGGAATCACACCTTTATTGCGGGCTGCCTGCTGCCACAGGATCTTGGCAATGTCGCTGGTCCAAGCCTGCTTGGTCTCGGCTGAGCTGGCCTGGAGGATGTAGGTGTCGCTCGACTTTCGTCTTCGGAACCAGATCTCGAAGCGCAGCCCGCTGTCCCCAGAGTTCTCCGTCAGACCGATGTCTGCGGTCTGCCAGGAAAAAGGAAGAGCAAAGGATCAGCCGGGGCTGCGCCAGGGGCAGAAAGGGTAATCTTGGTGGCGGGCCAGCCAGGGGAGAGCTGACCCGATGAAAGGAGACAGGCGACCTTCAGGGAGAAGTCCAGAGCCACCTATTGCCCAAGAGCAATCTGCAAAGCTGCCCTTACCTTGAAGGAGCGCTTGTAGATATAGACATCAAAGCCACCCTCGATCCTCTTGGGCTTGCTGAACAGGATCAGGTCCTCAAAGAGGAAGACGTGTCGCTGGCACTTCCTGCGGCCCAGCCAGATGGTGAACTCGTCCTGCCGCACCAGCTGCCCCTGCTCCTTCAGGTTCACCTGGCCACGGGGAACATCCTGGTAAGGCCTCAGCAGCTCCCCCAGACAGCAGGAAGCCAGGGCCAAGCAGACGCAGACACAAGGAGCAGGGTCCCGTGCATGGCCCGCGTGATGAAGAAGCAGGCACTGCCTGTCACCTGGAAGAGGTACGGGAACCCACCTCCCTGGGGCTAGAGGTCACACCAGGCTAAAACAAGCGGCTCAGAGCTAAGGCCCGGCCCACAGACACCACCTCCTGTCACCCTGCACAGATCTGGGACAAAGCCAACTGTGGGGTGCCAACTGGAGGCACCAGCCTGGCCCTTCTTGGGAGATAGAGGAAGTTCAAGAGGAAAAGACAGCCAGAAACCCGCCAGGAGCCCGGGCACATCTGGGTCAGACGACAAGCACCTCAGTTCCTCCTGCCCCAGATCCATCCCCCTCCACCCTGAGCCCTGCCGTAGACTGATATTTTACTTTATTTCTCCTCCTCCAAGTGCTGTCCTTCGTGTGCCTCTCCAAGTCCCACCTTGCTGCTTTTTGCCTATCCCTGGCATCAGCATCACTTTGAATTCCCTCCCACAAACTTGCTGCCTCCCCTAGCAAACCGAGGGGCACCCTGCCCACTGAGGGGATGCTCACCACACAGCCCAAAGACCCCAAACCTAGAGAGGGGGGAGCGGTGTGGCTTGGCCACCCCCAGGCAGCAGAGGACACCACAACGTACGTCACAGTCGCGGATGGCATCCATGGCCAGCAGGTCGTTCCCGTGCCGCAGCTGGAACTTCACCATCTCCTCAGCCGCTCGGAGGTAGCCCAGCTCCTGCTCTTGCGCCTCGCTGCACTCCTTGATCAGGTCCTTCAGGAGCAGGGCGTATTTGCTCATGCGCTGGATGGGTTTCAGCAGGTAGGAGGCCAGGTCCATCTTATCCCCCAGCTGCACCTGCTTGAACTGAGAAGCAGAGCAGAGAGTGAGGGCGGCAGCTCCGTGCGTGCAGGCACTGACACTACGGCTGCTCACAGCCTCAGCTTCATGACTGGGGTACTCAGATTGCTCTGCAAGGAACAGGATCGGTGCTGCCGGGTGCTGGGCTCCTTCCCAAAGCACCCACCACATCTCTGCCCAGCTGTGCAGAGAGCCAGGTAGGCAGTGGCAGCGCTGAGCGCACCTCAAGCAGGGAAGCTGGGCCGGGCTGCACACAGCAGCGACCCCAACGCCCGGAGGCACCGCGGGGACGGGCAGGGGGGTTTACCTTGAAGAAGGTGTTCCCGTGGCTGGCCAGCAGCGAGTCCGACTTCGGCTTGTTCTTGCTGTACAAGGCGTACATCCCAAACTGGTCTTTCTGCAAGAGAGAGCCCCGCGTGAGGCCAAGGCAGACCCAGGACCCGGCGACAGCCCCGGGGTTGGTGACTCCCATCCTTCTGCCTCTCCCAGGCTGCCCCAGAGCCTCCTCCAGGCATCAGGGCAAAGACTCGGCTTTAAGTTCAGCAAGAGCCAGGGTGAGTTCTTGTCTTCCTACTCCCACAGCAGCCAGGACTTCTGAGCTCGTTTTCCTGCTACCCCTTGCTCGTTACACACCCCAGGGGATATCAGCCACCTGCTAAGTGACAAGCACGCATGGGGCAGCTGAGCTTAAGCCCGGTGCCTCGTGCTTCTCCCTGCCACTCTTTGCAACCTCTCCTCTACCTCTCTGCTCAAAGTCCTTCCACAGCGATGCCACAGGCAGAAGACAAGGTGAGGGATGCCCCTGAAGAAGCAGGTGGGCTTTAAGGAGCAGCCTTTTGCTGCCCCAGCAGTGTCTCGTGGTGGCAAAGAACAACAGGAAAGGCAAAGAGCAGCTGCTGCTGCCTGGGCTCAGCACAAGCACCACGCACCAGGAGACCTCGTGCCCTTACTACAGCCTCAACGCCCCCTCCCCACCCACGCCAGGTGCTGCAAAGTGACCCAACACACACCCCCAGAGCCAGTGCAGGGCGCTTCTCCCCTCCCAAAAACAGCCACAGCCCAGCAGCACGGCGACAGGCGGCCAAATGCAAAGCACAGGAGCCAAGCACGGAGGAGCCCGCCCCCAGGAGAAGGTGCCGATGCCTTACGTGCCGCAGGAAGCAGTGGCTGACGCGCAGCGGGTGGTTGCAGCAGCTCTCGAGCTCCCGCAGAAAATACTGGCTGTGGAAGTCGTAGAGTTTCTCCAGGTTCCCAAAAATGACGCTGCGCTTCCCACGCAGGTCCTGGGGGAGGTCGAGGCGCTCCATCTCGGGGAAGTAGCTGTCGATGATGTAGCACAGCGACCTCACGTACTCCCGCTCCGTGGTCACCATCTCGTCAATGATGTGCCGCAGCTTGCTGCAAGAGGGAACGCTCAGCCTTGAAGGGAGCCGGACCACAGCTGTGCTGCAGCAGCATCTGGGCTGGCCCTACAGAAGCCCTCCCCAGGTCCCAGCTTGGAGGTGACCCCTTAGTGCCATCTGAGCTGGGATTTGCAGCTTTCTGTGACAGCTGACCCTGCCAGAGCCCGTGCAGACCCAAGGAACACAACTGGTTTCTCTGTTCTGGAAGGGAAGCCCCATTCTCGGCAGGACACACGTCCCTGGGCTCACCCAGCCCCGGTTCCTGGACACAACAAGATGCCCCCAAAGTCAGCGTGCTCCTCAAACACAAGGGAAAGCAGAAATCCCAGTGACTTGTGTGAGCACACAACCGGGTGCTGCAGGAAGCACTGCTAACGCTGGGAGAACAGGAGCTCTGGATGCAGGGGCTGTCGGGCTGCAGCTCACCAGGAACGAGCACCTCCAGCACACGTAGCTCCGCGCTGCCCTGAGACGAGTGCTCCCAGGTCCCAGGTTTCCACTGCGAGGCAGCACAGCACCGGCCCTAACCACTGCCAACGTGCCTCTCCTCTCAGCTCCTCCGGCTGGCCGAGCAGCGGGGCTGCCTCCTGCCACCCAGGGGACAGGGCTGGGCTCAGCTCGGTGCGGGAGGCATGCAGACCCTTTTGCGGGGCACTTTCCCTGCTGGGGAGGTTTCCTGCGGGGGTCCCGTGCCCTCGCTCTGTGCCCACAGCCACTGGGGCGCACACACGTTCCCAGCACCGCCCTGTGCGGGATCACCCCAGGCAGCTCTCAGTTCTCTGAGATCTGCAAGTGTTGGTTTTTTTTTTTTTATTTTCAACTTTTTTTTTTTTCCAAGGAGAGCAGTTGAAAGACCTGCCTGGCGACTCCCTCTCAGGAGCAGCTCCCATCCCTGGGCTCTCCCATCCCTGGGCACGTTGCAGTGCTCAGCAAAGTTAAGATCCTCGAAGAGAAGGGAAAGACCAGAACAAAAGCCAGGCCAGCAGACCTCCTTTTCCCTTTTCCCCCACCCCGAGGCCGCAGCACCGAGCGCCGCAGCCGCTCACTCACCTGCCCCAGCTCTTGGCTTCGGTGGCGGAGCCGCAGCCCCTCTGTCCCTCCAGCAGGCAGTCCGCAGCCCAGCTGTGAGCGCCGTGCCGCAGCGCGAACGTCCTGTCCACCAGCTCCGTGCTGCTCACCTCCAGCCCCTTAATAAAGACGCCGGTGTTGCCGTACCTGGCCGGCTCGCTCAGCGTCCTCTGGCAGCCCGACCACAGGCTCTCACCGCAGGGCAGGTCGAAGCTCTGGGCTTTGCGGAGCATCCTCCTGGGAGGGGGCTTCCCAGCGGATGGAGTGGAGGCGCAGGAGGGTTTCACCTCCAGGCTTTCCAAAATGCTCTCCAGGTTCGACTTTTCCTCGGGCAGTTTGGGTGACTTGACGGCCCCGCTTCCAAAAGGAACTCGGCCGCAGTGGGGCCCGGCCCCGAGAGCAGCTTGGCAGGCAAATTCGTCCCCAGCACCAAAATCACCGGGGCAGCTCAGGGTGGGAGAAGGGATTTGCTCTTTAGTCCAGCCCGCAGAGCGGCCGGGCCTGCTGTAGCCATGGGATGTGCTGCAAGTCCTGTCCCAGGGCGGCCCGGGGGTGGCCCCCTCTGAGTGCCTGCGTGGGCACAGGGTGCCAGCCTCGCTGCCAGCCCGTGCCTGCTCCCCCACGGCTGCTTTGCGGTCTGCCAGCAGCGACCTCCTGGTTCTCAGGGCCGCTTCCAGCTTCTTTTCGAAAACCAGCTTGGTCTCCTGGCACTTGGACCACGCAAACTTCCACTGCTTGAGTCCTTTTTCGCTCTTCAGCTCGCAGGCCAGCTCCTTCATCTCCTGGAAGCGGGCGTCGCTGATGTCCGGGTGCTGCCCCTTGTAGCTCTCCAGGCACTTGATGACCCCCGCGCAGTGCTCGGCGGAGCTGCAGTCCTCCATGCTGATGCAGGCGAGGTGTCGCATCCCTTCCAAGGCCCACTCGTACGCCTGCAGGGAGCCAGAACAAAAGGCAAGAGCCAGTCAGAGGCACTCAGGGAAGAATAACCCCGGCTCGGTGCCTAAAGCGTGAGGCGAGAGAAAGGATCAGTGTGTGGCCAACGCAGTTCCTCGAGTGTGAGCAGAGGAGGGGGGGGGCTGCTATTGTCACCGTGGGGCTGAATTCACAATTCAGCAAAACAAACAGCTCCTTATGCGGAGGGCTTCAGCTGTGCCGGCTGCTCTGTCGCAGCCCTACCTCCCCGGCAGCACCCACGCTGCCGGCCGTGAGCCCTGGGGAGGGGATCCCAAGGGAGGGGATCCCAGGGGATCCCAGGCTGCTGAGGCTGCAGGAACCTTCACAGCCCTGCTTGGGATAAAACCTAAAACCTTCCTGCCTCATCCTGCCTGCTGCTCCCAGCAGGACATGGAGCCAGCTATCCAGGAGCAGATTGCTGCTCCCCAGACCCAACGGGGCACAGCACATGGCTCGAGAAGAGCTGGGCTCTTTGGTCACCCCAACCCGTCCCCACAGCAATGGGAATCTGGGACCACACGAGCTCAGCTGCAGCCCAAGCGTTTTCTGCAGCTGCTGGCACCCGAGCGGAGTCAGCAGCCTGCCCAGCCCTACCTGCTCGCGCTGGTGAGCTCAGCACCCAGCTCAGCACTTTGTTTCTAGCACTACAGGAATGCTGGAAGCGGTTTCACGAGGCTCGGCTCTATGAGCAGTGCCCACGAGGCCTCGCTGATGCAGCTCTGCCCGAATGGACAGAGGCAGGAAAGGGGCTGACAAGGTTTAACTGTGCAGGGAGCTTCGCTGCAGTGAAAACACAGAGTTATTTGTTCACATCTGATGCAGAAGGCAGAGAAAACCCCAGACAGGCCTGCCCAGCACCTTCCACAGACTGCGTGCGTGCAGAAACCCCACGGGCTGCCCCTGGGGTGAACCAGCCAGCACTTCACCTGCCTGGCCCTGCTGCTGTGGCTGTGCTGGGGAGCTAGAGCCATGCTCTGTGCCGGCAAGGAAAGCATCAGCCTCGGAGCATTTCCCACCTGACAGCCAGAGCTGGGCATCCTCGCTCCGAAAGCCTTCGCTCCGAGAGCTTACAGCCCGTACCGGCACGCAGAAGAAGGCCTCGAGGTCAGGAACAGAACAGCCACGTGCTACACAGACGCTGAATCCCCGTCGGGACACCGGTGAGGAAATGCTGGGTGCCAGGCTGCTGACACAGGTAGGCAGGGCAGGGTGTGCAGGACGTGAGGAGAGCTGAATGGCAGCGTGCAGGAGGCCACCCACGGGCCGAGGAGTCACTCCAGGGGCAGATGCCCCAGCCACAGGAGCTGCCCCAGCCGTCCCCAGTGCTCTTTGGAGCTGCAGCTGCGTGCTCTGCGTGCAGCCAGCCCCATTACTCATGCAAAGCAAGGAGCTGCTTCGTTAGGGCCGGCAGCTGCTGGGGGAAAACGCTCAGAGGCAGCAGCAGCCCCGGCACAGGGACGGCCCAGCCCTGCCACTCTCTCAGCCCAGGTTTTATGCTTGGAAGTGCCCGCTGCCGGGGGAGAGAGGGGCTCAAAGCGGGCAGAGGAGATGCCAGAGCCCGCCGAGCCTGCACTTCCCAGGCTCTTTAATTCTCCGAGTGCCAGGGAGCCCGGCAGACCCGCACAGCAGCAACAGATGGCCTGGTGTGACGGGGTTTTGTGCTGCTCCTTCCATTTCTACACAAACCAGCCCCCCAGGCAGGGCTGAGGGCTCAGCTCACCTCTCCCGTCGTGCCGCCCAAGGGGTGATGATCCCACCCAGAGGCCGTACGCAGGCTCTGTTTTGCTCAGGGATGGGCAAAGCTCGGCAAGGAGGAACCAGGGCTGCAACCCACCCAGGGAGGCAGCCCCACCACCCCATCTTCATATGCTATCTGGCTGTTCCTGGCAAGGACTCCACGGCACGCAGGAATTACTCTGCATCTCGGCCCTTCTTCCATCCCCAGTGCCTGTCACAGGCTCGTGAATGGCTCCGCTTTGTTCCCTGCACAATGGGAGCAGCCCTCCACACCCCACAGCTTGCTTGGGAACATGCTAAGTGGCCACCAAGGCTTTCCCAGCCACATCACCCGCTCCAACTGCCCCTGGAAGCACACGAAAAGCACACAAAACGGCAGCCCCCTCCATGGAGGCACGCAGGAGGAAGCAACGCCACACAGCAAGGGCATCGCCGCCGGCTCCGTCCTTGGAAGGGGCTGCCTCTGCCTAAGCCTTCTCTTTCACCTCTTCCCGTGGGGAGATAATTCTTGTAACAGGAGTTTTTTCTTGTCATGCTGGCAGCTGGGTGTCTGAGCAGGCAGATCACAAACTTCCCTAACTTTCTGCAGAAGAAAAACGCCCCTAGGGAAGTTTCCTTCCACACCTGAAGCGGCTGCGCAGGGGAGCTAAGATAGAGGTGGTAAAAAACCCAAACTGAACCTGAGGGGAGCAACGAGACAGGAATCCTAAAGCAGCTGTGGGTACAGCAGCTGAAGCTGCCCTAAGGGCCAAGCCACAAGAGGGGCCAAGTCCCCCCATGCTGTGCCTGTCCTGCTCCACAGGGGTCTGGGCACCAGCAGACAGAGCGACGGCACTTACCGGAGCACAGGTCCGAGGTAAATGCTGCTGCCCTGCCCCAAAATGCCTCTCCCAGCTGTGCTCCTCTCACTGCAGGTGCTCGCTGGGGCTCAATGCCTCCAAAACCCATGATTTTGGGGCTTTGAGGACTGCCCCCAGCTCGCAGCACTGCTGTCCCCTGTCACAGGTTGCTGCATGCACAGCACAAGCAGGGACTCGTGGCTGCGGACTGCCTTCAACGCTGACAGTTCCGACACAGCAATTCGCTGCTTTACAATGAAATACACCGAAAGCAACATTATTTAGACCAAAACTTTCCTGGCAGGAGAGCTGTCAGTTTGCAGACAGCCATGAGCTGCCCTCCCTGCTGGCGGGGACCAGGCAGGCAGAGCAGAAAGCCCTCGGCTCCCCGCTCGCTCGGACCCACCCGAAATTTCCTCAGCCTCCCACCCACTGCCACTAACAGTGCCCACGAAGGAAAGGGCAGGGAGAGAGCAAACATTCAGGACCCGCAGAGGGCAAGCTGGTTAATCCCCTCCAAACATCCCCCATCCTACCTTGCCGTGGGTACAGAGTGGGTCCATGTCCCGGCCGAGCGCAGCTCCCTGCTGATCACCATCCCCGAGGGCCCCGGACTGAGGCAGGGCCACCTCGGGCTCCGGCTATTCACAAGCAAATGCTGCTAGCCTAAATACCAGGTTGAGGAGCCCTGGAAACCGGAGAGCAGGCGGCGGGGGGGAAGGGGCCGCGCTTCACACGAGAAGCACTGAAGTGTGCGGAGAGCAGCCCGCCTGGGCGCGGGCCAGATCCCCTTCCTTGCACAGCGCAGAAACGGAGAGAAAACACACCTACCCACCCCAAACTCGAGCAAAACTCAAAGCAAGCTGCCACCCGGCACACAAGAGCTTTGGGGAAGCAGGACGGTCCCTTCTGAAGATGTAGCAAAGCCAAAGCCCCGCTCACTTCCAGCGGGCAGCAGCTGGGGTGCACCGGGAGCGCAAGCACTCAGCAAAGCCAGCAGCTCCACGCAGCCTGTGCTGAGGCTCGCTGCTCCCTGCTCCCCACCCTGTCACATTTGACTATTCCGAACTGCATGTGAAGCCTTCTCTGGGATTCATTAGCAGCGGAGAGCAGCCTAATCAAAACCATGTCCTACACGGGATGTAGCTGTAGAAGCTCAGCTCGAAGCACTGAGGAACGGGCTCACCCTCCTGAAATACAAAGCGCAACAATTCCGGAGTTGCTGTGTGGCTCGCGAGGCCTCCCCTCCTCTCTGCAAGGGAGGAGAGACCACGAAAATCACCAGTTTGCCTAAAGCCAGCTAAGAAAAACAAACTTTCAATCCCCTATTTGCATTGCTGCCTGTTACCAAGTGGCTGGCGCTGTACAAACACCGCAGGAGGGCAAAGGATGAGAGGCGAGCACCGGCCATAAATCCCTCGGGTTTCAGGATCAGGAGGGAGAACGAGGAGGTGCCCTACAAGAGGAAGGGTCAATGGTCAGCGGGAAATGTGATGGGACCTGGCTGCACAGACCCCATAGGTGCTGTGGCAGGCAGGGTGTACTCATTAGAGCACCACGCTCAGAAATGCTCCTGCGCTCCAGGTGAACGTGAGCGGAGCTCAGCACTCCCTTCCTTCCCCCTTTGGGCGGCGAGGCTCGACACGTCCAGGAGAGTCTAAATTAGAGGAGAAGCTAATTGGAGCAAACGGCGTTACGCACGATCCCTTCCCTCCTGATGGCAACACGCTGACCCACGGGGCAGCCGCGGCTCGCTGCGCTGGGGCTGGCGTGCGGGACGCGTGCTGGCCCTTCTGCTAATTGCTGCGACAGCCAAAAAACACCTAGGGTGGCTTCATTAAGAGCAGGCTGACTCAACTAATGACTCACACCAAGCCACGGTAATCCCTGCTTCGTTGGATTCAGAGCTTGCAACCCGTGCCAGACACAGACAGAGGTGTGTACGTACAGCTAGACACACGGATTTACATGTGTACGTACGGAACAACTCCCCGGGAAGCCGGGCAGTGAGGGGCTGGGACTCGCCCTCTACAGCTGCTCTGCAGCTGCAGAAAGCCTCCCAGCAGCAGATGATGTGCAGTTTGCCTCAGTCTTTGTGTTTTGCTCCGTGGTCGGTCGTGTCTTTGAACGCTTGGGTAGATTCTGCACTGTTTTTTTTTTCTTTTTTCTTTCTTTTGTCCCACCAAGGGGATTTTCTCAACATTTGAGAACTCCTAAGCCCGGAGGACTGGGGACCAAGTTTGCTCCCAGCAAAACCAGCAACTTCAACGGTTGTGTTTGCTGCAAAGCAGCCCCTTTGCGTTTGAAGCGCTGCCCATCTTTTCATGAGCTCTGTGCCTCACTGCAAAGCTCTTCTGTCAGTGGAAACTCCTGCTTACGATCCCTTCTGACTGAGAACA